ATAAATAGATAAAATAATAGAAAAATAAATAATAAGATAAATAGATAAAATAAATAGATAAAATAATAGAAAAATAAATAATAAATAAATAAGGAATGTGAAATTAGCAGAAACGGGATGAATGATGATCGTTAGAAAAAGGGTAAATCAATTACCCAATGATTGGTACTCGGTCCCTTGATTTCTGTCAATGGTGTCCCTTTGCCATCGATGATGATCAGAGTGGATTGCGTCCCGCCACTGAGAATTATTAAATTCATTATATCAGTTTGTTAATCCATTATTTGATAGCTGTTTTCGATTGTATCATCATTTGTAACGATAATAAGGTCGAGTATGCAACATTAGGTAGAAGTTAAAAGCAGAAAGTATGCACGTCCTGTTAGAATCAATTAAGTTAATCATGGCTGATGTAGACCGTTACTTTCGTATCGTATACGTTTGAGTTATATCGAGAAGCTTATCGAGTCAAATTATGTATATCGTAATACCAAGTTTTTCTCTTAAATTCGCGAAAAAAAGTATCAGTTTTTATATCAACTTTAATCTTATAGTTCGAACAAAATGAGTTTGTAAATAATTACACTGTAAATATTTGCTGGTAATGACGCAGAGCAATAAAAGGTTTTATTTTAAAACAGAAATACTTTGCTCCTATAATTACACGTTTCGATAAGCATTGATAAGTGTTTTATCTTTATTTTCGAATTTTGATAATAAGCGTATATTCAATATCAACTGTATCACAAATTCGTGTGTTTTACATTATTTTACATTATTTTTCCTTCGCGAAGTGTTCTTCGAATATTTATGTAAGATTTATAAAAAAAGCAATACTTTCGTAAAGAAAAGAACATAATTAATTTCAAAATTAAAAATTAACAAAAGATTGATGATTAGACTATTTAAATTATTAACAAATTTTGTCTTGGAAATTAATTCTTGACAATATTGCAAATAGAAGATATTAAATTGAATATATCTCTTATTATAATATTATAGCGATCTGATCAGAATTAAAATCATAATGCGCGTTTATGCGTATATTTTCGTAAATAAAAATAATGGATGAATTATAATTGGACTTTATCGACGCACATTAACCAAAAATGTATCTATGAATCGCTAAGTTGATAAAAATTCCACGATTATCGTAAAAATGACGAACGTAAATTTCGTAAAAATAGCAAACATGAAAAAAACTTATAAAAGAAATTTATAATTACTCACCCCTCGAGTCCTCCGATTCTGATTTCTTCCGGATGTTCCGGTAGCTCTATTTTAGTCATAGTCTCTTCGTCGAATAATTCTGTTGGCTGCCTTTGTTTCCTTAGTTGCCTACGAAGCTCAAACTCGTCAATGAGCTTCTTTTTTCCCTTCCTTCTCCTTTTTCCTACCATTTTTTTTCAATCAGACGATTCCAAATTTCATTCACTTGTGATTTCAGCGATAAGGGAATCCAGGAGTTTGTGGACAGGATTTAAACAGGTATACATCTGATGGCATGTGATAAAGCACACGCTATAGAAAATTCAAACATTTCGTCAAATTTATATGAAAAATAAAACAAATTAAAGCATGACAGAAGAAAATAATGCTTAATTTAATGTAGTAATGTAATGCTTAATTAATGTAATGAAAAGAATATTTGTCTCAAAACTTATGCTACAGTAACATGGTATTACATACTATATCATATGTACTATAGCATCCTGGAAGCAAAACTTTTGGTCCAAATACCATAAAAATGTCCAAATATCATTTCAGGGGTATTTTGGATTGCTGAAATCAAGGTTATTTTTTACGGAAATGAACAGTTTCTCAGATATTTGTGAAAAATTGTCGGTTCAAAAAAATTTTCAAATTTAACAATGTTTAAATTTTAATAGATTACTACATGGATTATACATGTGAGAATATTGAATATAAAACATCTGATAGCTTGGATATGGACGGATAGACACATAACATGTACAAACTATATGTATTTAACATTTTCGTGTTGTCAACTTACTAGAAAGATTCAATAATTCAACTCCGTGTAGTGCAAAAATTTCATAGAAATCATCTAATAACGCAGGTGGTAAAGATATCGCGACCGTAACTAGTCACTGTAAAAATCACTTCAATTAAGCGAAGTTATAGGCATTTATTGTTATTGCGATGTTCACACAATCATATACCTTGACTGTGACCGAATGAACGAATACTCATGCAGCTTACTCTGACAAATTCGCGCTCATTTATCTCAACTAACACTCGTTTAATGAACACAACGATACAAGCACAAATACAAGCACAAATACAAGCAATTTGATCGGAACATAGGTAAACGAGCATTCATTCGTTTGGTGTAAAGCCACGTAAAGCCACTTAAACATCTGCTTAAATTGAATCATTATAGATTTAATATTAACCTAAAAAGTTGACAGATTGTAATTAATACTCAAGTGACATCAGTGAGGAATCTCGGGTACTACATTAATAAATTCGATCGATTCCGATCGATAATATTTCAGAAATAAACAAGATATATTTTAAATGACATTCTTCGTATTAATAATGCTATTGCCACAGACGAGCTATATGAATAGACATTGCATATAATCTATTTTTTTTCCACGGTAATAAGGTGTTTAGCACTTTATTACCATTTTCGTGTCACACCCTGTCGTACCGATTCAGATAGATTTTGCACTTCAGCACTACTAGTGATGAGAATTAAAATCAAAAAATATGAACAATTTTGCCACCTGTTTCAAGAATTATTTATTGAATTGAATTTCACCAATGAAGGAATATAATGATTTAAAACAACGATTGATGGAAATTGGGAAGAAAAATTCATTATATATTTGATTATTTATATCTATTTAAGGATATTAGAAATAATATTTTCTAACAATATAATTAGATATGAATTAAATATGACGTTTACTTATTTTAGTGTGTAACTTTAGTCTGAATGAATCTTGCAAACTCAATTTTATAAAAGTTTGGAGGTATCAAAGAAATGTTTCCACAAATATTGTTTAGTATAAAGTTATATTGTGTGCTGTAAATTATTTTTTGCAGATCGCTCGTTTCCGAAATTTCGAAGTCATTTGTTAAGACGAGTTCAATAATTTTCATACGATAATTCGTTAGAAATTAATGTATTATTGTTTAAAGTTCAGTAAAATGACGAAAACAAATCGTACAGTTAGTTTTAAGGGCTCACTGTAAAGGGAAGATTTCAGTTTTCAAGATCATGTTTGATTTAATCATGAAAAGAAATTGTTCAGTGATGGAAAAACTTCTCTTCGGCGAGACGTTTAAATTTCTACAATTTTTGAAAAGAAAACTATTTTCACTTTAATACTTGCTGCATGATGTAAAAATAAATATCTTTGAACGAAACAAACTCAGAATTGTTAAAGTAGAGATTTCACTCTAAAATAAAATGAAGTTAATTATTTTACAATTTTTTTTCACGAAATTATAAGTTTAAAGTATTGATAATTCTTCATTTTTTTGTGTGTTTGATTTAGACCAGAGTTTTTTATTTTTGATTTCCAAATTATCATTTCGCGCGAAATGCGCGATTACAGCGCCACTACACGGTGAAATATGCAATGTACTTCCTATGATTCTCGAACCTAATCGATATTTCTCACGATCGATCTTTAAACGGGAAAAATGGCGGAAAGGAGCACGCGTCATCTGTAAAGAAGGAAGCGTTATCCAGAAAAATCACCCAGAAAAAGGTATCATCCAAAAGTTCTCAAGTAAAAATATAATCAATAGTTGTTAGATTTGTGCATGTATTGTGTATTTTTAAGATAAAATGTGGATTTTTGACTTCAACTCAAGGTAAGATTTAACCAAATAATTATTACATATAATTTTCAACAATTAACGAAATAATGACATATAAACGTTTAAACATAGCATATATATATATATATATATATATATATATATATACAGAATATATATATAAAATATGCTTTTACTTCTATTGTAACATTTTCTACTCATTTGTTGATTCTTTAATTTCATTCCTAACAATTCCAATAATAAATTCAACAATAGTTTATTAACCTATTTGCATCCAAGCGCGGAATAATCCGCGAGCCGCGACTGTCTGCTATCACCGAACGCGGAATAATTCGGTTCTGAATTGGGTTCTGATCACTTCCTTATTTGTTTTAACATTAAGATAAATAAGAAGTATTACGAGAAAAGTTAGACAATATAGGCATAATATAATTTATTGGATTGAATACAGTGATGCTTCATTAGTAAAAGAATACAAATATAATAAGAACATGAAATATAAAATAAGAATATAAAAAAGAAATAACGATTCGGAACAGGGTTTAATAGTAATAAGGACGAAAAACTTATGATATATATACTATTTGATCATTTACATCTGTTTCGAAGTAGAAAAAGTTGATTAAAATATATTTTTATTTTGTTTTATATAAAGGATTGGACGTATCAAATAAACATTTCCATAAATATTCTTACTTTTTATCCCGAGTTAGTTTCGTGTACGTTCAAAAAGCGCGCGCATTGGGATTAGCTAGTTACGATTACAGCGCCATTATACGGTGAAATGCGTAATACACTTCTTATGATTCTCGAACGAAATCGATATTTCTCATGATCGATTTTTAAGCGGGAA